TCTCGAAACCCGAATTCCCCCAACCAACAGATCTCAAGGATATGACATATGAACGTCCAACATACATACCACACATTCCTAGGATTGCAGCAAGAGTTTCCCCACACGCATAACAACCTGCACTCGCGCTACTGCGACTTCTTGAGAAGACGATCTGCTTCTCAACATGTGCAAGGAATGCTGCCAGGCGGGCGCCTCGCGACGCATGGCGAGATCATTCCGACGCCCTGGCGCGCGCGATGGAAGGGAGCGGGGAGGCGCGATCCGCGCCAAAATAACACCACGCGGGCAAGCCCCGCGCGTCGGCAAAGACCTGGCCGCGGAGGCGCAAGTGGAACTGGTCGAAGCAAGCTGTCCTACTGCCCCGGGCCAGGGCCGCGTCGCGCCCGCGGCACCGCGGCGCCCCCCCCCCTGGGACGAGGCCCCCGGGGCAACCGTGGAGGAGAAACTCGTCGAGCACTGCGGGTCCCACCATTCGTGCGCGGCCCTGCTGGAACCCTCGGGCCGGGCGAAAGGGGGGGGATAGCAAAAAGGGAAGTTTAAGAATCAGCTCGCGTAGCTGATTGTCCCGGCGCCTGCCGGCGCCGGAGGCGGTTACGTATCGAGGAACGGGCCCCTCGGTGGGGCCGAAACCAGCTGCATGCAGCAAATTTCCTAACCCCCCCTTTCCCAAACCCCCCCTTTCGCCCGACCCAGAACCCTAGTGCGAGAACGTCTTCGAGGAGGTGCTATCTGTGGCGTGCTCGACGAGCGCGCAACAAGGCCGACGAGGGCAAACCCTGGAAGTTGGCGGGCCAGAGCGACTGGCAGGGCCGCGTCGACGTCCCCGGCTTAGTATGGCAAGGCAGGTACCTGGACATGCTCGAAGACATCGGTGACGCTGGCGAGGCCGCCCAGGGGTTCCTGGGCTGAGTGGGCGGTGGCTGTGCGTCGTTGCTGGGCTCGTCTCGGAACGCTACATCGCCGCTCCGAAAGTTCCTTGAATTGTCTGAATTGGGCCCGATGGCATTGTGTGCTCACCCACTTCGCAGCCCTCTTGGCAACGGCCCCCGATGGGGCTGAGGGGCAGGATGCGTTGAATCCCCCTCCCCCCTAGAAGCCTAACAAGAAAACCCTCTTGCGTGGTTTCGGCGGGATCCTTGGCGAATAGTTCCCCCGGTTTGTACTATACTTTTAATCCGGCCAACTTTAAATCCCACCCATGAAAGATGGGGTCTAGATAAATCCCGCGGTGGGACCCAATCCCGCCAATGTATGACGTGTTCGGGAAATCTTGAAGTCATCTTGAAATCATCCCCAGGTCATCCTTAGATCATGGTGTTGCACTCTCAGAGTGCTCCGGCCACCTCGGGGTCCCTCGGGGGCCACCGCACCTGGTCTCCAGGGCATCGCTCACATCTTGGGCCATCTTGGATTCGCCCCAAGGCCATTTCGACGCTGCGTCTGGATCCTGCAGGGGCCACGGGGTCTTCTTGGGGTCGGCCCTAGGTCATCTTCGTGCCCGTCAGAGGCCGTCGTGGAACCATCTTGGGGCCATGGAGCCGCCTAGGCATCCTGTCTGGGGGTTGTCTGGAAGTCTTCTGCGTTTCCAAGGAAACTTTCGCTACGCCTGAATCGTCTTTTTCTGGGGGCGGCTTGGGAACTGCTTCGTTTTCGGGCCGCGGGTTCCTTGGGGAGGCCTTGTGCCTGCGTTCGGTTGCCCGTTGGTTTCCGACCCCGCGGGAGTGGTGGGGCCTTGGCCACGGCCTTCCCCTCCTGGGAAGGGCGCTGCTGGGTTGCACCTGGTTGGTCGGACCCTCGGGTTCCTCCTCGCCTCGCCCGTCGAATTAATATTTCTGTTGATAAGCGCCGTGCTGCGCCCAGCCCCGCCTGCTCCTCCCGCGACGGCAGGTGATCAACGCGGAACGGACGGCTTTCAGTTGGGCCTGGCGCTTCCTGCCTGGGTCATGAGTCGGCGGGGTAGGCAACGAAGATGACGAGATCGAAATGGGCACCTTTCCTCGACTTTCGCAATCAAGCCCGTGGGTGTACTTACGGTCCACTGCATTCGTGTTTGACGTACTAAGGGGTGAGCACGACGTCCTAAAACAATGCAACCTCCAACGGTCGATCTTGCGCGCGGACCTCGAAACCAACCGGCATGAATCGCGACCTGCTGACTTTTAACATGTTCCAAACGAAAGGACACCCCCAATTCACTCGGGAGGCTATCCCCTGCAACCAGATTACATCCACGTTCATGCGGTCTGCGATCTCCTCGGCCATAGGAGGGGAAGCAAGGCTCATGGGAGTGAGAACGTTACGATTCAGAGGTGGTGGCGGCGACTTGCGTCGAACAACGGTTTCAACATCAATTAGACTAGGACAGATGAAACATAGCTAGTCTCAGCGCTGCCGTGCGTATCTAGAACACAAAAGAAATGCCGGGCAAACTGGCCCGCTGGAAACGTTCCCGCGACCGTCATGGCGCTCCGCGTGCAGGGGTGGACTTAGCATGGATAGGGACTGCTCGCGGGGAACACCCCCTGCGCAACCTCTTTGGGTCGCGAACGTGCTACATCTGACACGCCCTGCGACCTGGACTGGATCGAGACCGAGCTAAGGGACCACTCCATGCACACCCTCCTTCGATAGTGCCGAAGCAGCTTGCACATCTGCACGCATACAGCTCATGCGCATGTACCAGTGCATGCTTGTGCGTGCGCGTGTATACATGCTATTATATACAAGTATACATGTGTGTATGCATCTATCGCATCGTTGGGTCTCCGTGGATCATCTTCCAGGGGGGCTGTTACACAACGATGAATCTTGCGGTGAACGAATGACAGTCGGGATCCGACGGGAAGGGCAGAAGGGGGTCATCAATGTTTCACAGGTCGTGGACCTTACATCGAAGTGCCCGATCCATAAGCGAAGCGGGAATATGGCTAACTGCCTTTGGTCTGGTCAAGGCAGCGCGGGCTCGAGCGAAGTGCCCACAAACGCCCTCCTCCTCGGGGGGGGCGGCGCGGACGGCGGGGGGGGAGAGGAGGAGGGAGGAGGAGGGAGGAGGAGGAGGAGGGGGAGAGGAGGAGGGAGGAGGAGGAGGAGGGGGAGGAGGAGGAGGCAGGATGGAAAAGAATTGCGCCCACAATGCCACAACACACGCCAACGACTAACCGCATGCCGATGATAATAAAGGGACCCCCCCCTTCAGTGTTTAGAGTTGATTATCGTCGCCCTATACAAAATTCAAATTGGGCGGCGAGCGCTGAGGCCGAACTTCATTATCACCTCGAAACGCCATGTTGAGATAGCAACATCAAGCGATGTTGATATAGCAACATCAAGCGAAGCGATCACACTTTTTCAGGATGTGTCAGGCGAAACCAATAATTTTGGGAGGCAGACTCAAACGAAACGAGCAATGTTCTTATTATTATTATTATACTTTCGTCTTCTTCTGTTATATTTCTATCTGTCCTCACGCTCGCCTGAGCTTTTTTATCCCTGGGGTTGATTATCCATGGAAAAAGAAGCACATGAGCTACCCTACACGAGCACTTAAAAACATCAATTTTCATAAAGCGTTTGTAAATTAAAATTGATAGATTTGGAACTTTGGATTTTTCCTTTCTTCGTCCTCTTCTTATTATCCTCTTATTATTATTTCTTAGTATTCTTCTACTGTATTCTTCTTCTTTTATATTTCTCTCTGTCCCCACGCTCGCCTGAACTTTTTTATCTCTGGGGTTGATTATCCATGGAAATTGAGGCACATGAGCTACCCTACACGACGCCGATCTGTGGGAAACTCGACGGCGCCGCCTGCAGTTCCTCGGGAACCCAGGTGGCGCGGAGGAGGGAGGGGGGCGAGCGAGGACGAAGAGGAGGAATGGCAGGCTGCAGTAATAATGGGAGAACGGACGCAGCCCCCCGACGTCGTGATCTTGTTCGCAGCGTCGACCCCCAGAAAACTGGACCCCTTCCCCGGGACCCGCTTTTCATCCTGAGTTGTTTTTTGCCAGCCCCAGGGTCCCGGGAAGGGCCCCCGCGGAGGCCGAGAATGACGAAACACCTCCCCTCGCGCTTTTGTTTCGCAGCGCGGGAAGCCTGGAGGAGGAGGAAGTGAGGAGGAGGGAGCACGAGCTTAACTATACACTGCGGGCGTGCCGCCCTGCAGCCCCGCCGAGCAGAAGGACGCAGGGAGAGCTCTTCGGGAGCGGCCAGGAGGGGGGTGTCCATGAGGGGGGGGGGGACAAATCAAGACCGGCGGCACGTGCGCGGCCCAGCGGGGGGGCCAGGGACGTAAAGAAACAAGAAGAGGCGCCATGAAATCTGGGGAAATCGCATGGCCCACGCCATGATATCCCCCCCCCCTAGCCATCACCCCCCTCTTTTCCGCCCCCGAGCTTCGGGTCGGGCGAAAGGGGGAGATAGCAAAGGGGGGGTTTGAGAACCAGCTCACGTAGCTGATTTTCCCGGCGCCTCCCGGCGCCGTAGGCGGATATATGTATCGAGGAATGGGCCCCTCGGTGAGGCCGAAACTAGCTGTATGCAGCAAATTTCGTACCCCCCCTTTCCCAATTCCCCCCCTTTTCGTCCAGCCCGCTATGAAATCTAGGGAGATCTCATGGCCCACGCCATGATATCCCCCCCCCCTAGTCATCACCCCCCTCTCTGCCGCCCCCCACCTATCCCCCCCGGTCGTTCGGCCCGCGTCCGGAGGGGGGCCCTGCAGGAGCCCCAGGACACACAAAGAAATACACACAAACAAAAATATTCCCCATATTTTCCCAGATGTTGGGGGGCGGAAAGATACGGATACGTGTTGTCCCCGGACCTCTCTTGGGGTGCGTTCTGACCAGAATTTCGAGGCGAATCCAGCGGTGACAACGAGGATTCCCCAGGAGGACCAGGAAAGGCCGAAAACGAAGGGGGAAAACACGTATCCGTATTTTTTTCTCCCCCGAGTAGGGGCGTTTTTTACGCCCTTGATGCGGGAGGAGCGCCTCGGCCTCCGCCCGGCGGCCGCGCTGCCCCAGCGCCTCCAGCTCCGGGCCCAGCCACGCGGGCGGCCGGGCGCCGCGCGCGCCCCCGGGGCCGGCGGCGAGGCGCTGCCGCCACCCGAGGCCCTGCAGCCGCTCCCGGAAGCGCGCGGCCTGCGGGGCCCTCGCGGGGTGTGGGGGGGGGAGCGAGGTCTAATTAGGGGAACATTTGTTATTTATGTATTTATGTATCTATTTATGCATGTATTTAATTGTTTATATTGTGTGTTTATTGATTAATCTATATATTTATTTGTATTATTATTATTAGCATTATCTTGATTATGATTATCATTATTATTATTATTATCATCATTATTATTATTATTTTTTGGTTCGGAGAAGGAGAACGCAACCACCTGACAATCCACCCACCCGGCGTCAGAGTGAAGCGCGCAGAGCTCGAAGCAGGCAATGTGACACAGTGACCTAAACATAACAACTCGGAGGTCCGCGCGGATTCCTCGGATCCGCGCTGGACCCCCCTCCCTGGCGCGCGGAGCGCGCCAGGGGCGGCGCCGGAGGCGCCGCCGGGGCCCCAGCGCCGATCCGAGAAATCCGCGCGGACCTCCGAAGTTTTATGCTTATGTCACTTTCTGTTCCCCTATAAGGTCTTCGCAGGTTCTCACATCGGCTCCTGGAGGTTTCTCGCCTCCGGGTGCTCTCCCCAGCAGCTGCGCCTCGGCGAGAGCGCTCCGGGGGGGGGGGGGCGGCTCGCATTCTGGTTTCGGGGCCCCCATCTTCGACGATACAGTCGGGGCGCTGAAGAAGGAACCCTTTTCGTTGGGGAGGGGATCCGTGTTCCTCAATTGTTCCACAGTTTGTCTTGTGTCTTCCTTAGGTTTTCATTGGGAAATCGCAATTTAGCTTATGGGAAAAAGGGGCCTCGTTCCTTATTTAGGGTTCCTTAGGTCAACGCCCCGACTGCACGTTCGTAGGACTCTGGGCGTTATTCGTCGAAATCGGCCTGTAAGGCTCGCTGCTGGGCCCCGTGACCAGCAAACACGGATCGGGGACGAAACAATACCCCCCAGGGAAGGGGTCCGAACTTGCCGGCTGCGAAGGGGAGGCGGAAGGCAGAAGAACACAGAACTGCTTAAACATATGTGCTGTCAAAGGTCCGCACGGATCCTTCGGATCGGCGCCGGGCCTGCCTTGCGAAGCCTCCGGCGCCGCCCCTATCGGCGACAGGGGCGGCGCCGGACTGGGTCCAGCGATAGGGGCTATCGCGATAGGCCATCGCGCCAGGCGAGGGGGTCCAGCGCCGATCGTGCTTGCTCATGCACAGCTTTCTGATTCGAGCGGGGCACCGAGTCGTCCATCAAGAAACTCCGTAAGAATCGGGGGTGCGTGCCGCTTGCATGCGTACGCGCGCAAACTGCATATGTACTCGGGCCACCATGCCTGCACGGACTGAGCGTGTCAGAACGAACCTGGGCCTGCACGGGACCAGACCGAGCGCTTCAAGGGCTTGCCCGAGAGGGATCATGGCACCGTTCGCTCTTGGGAGCCGTGACGTGAAGAGTTGTTGGTGTCACTGTTCGCTCGTGGGAGCCCTGGTGTGAAGAGTTTGTTCACGTGATCGTTCGCTCGTGGGAGCCTTGGTGTGAAGGGTTTGTTTGTTTCGTTCGCTCTTGGGAGCTTTGGCGAAGAGTTGCCCATGCCACCATTCGCTCTTGGGAGCCTTGAAGATGCGGAGTTGATTGCGTCACCGTTCGCTCGTGGGAGCCTTGGAATGACGCGCTGCTTACGTCACCGCTCGCTCTTGGAGCTGATTACGTTACCGTTCGCTCTTGCGAGCCTGGGCTTTCAAGAGCTTCCTGCGCGTCACTGCTCGCTCTCGGGAAGCCTTTGGCGCTCAGAGCTTCTCACGGCACCGACTCGTGTAAAAAAGGCTGTCCAATCACCTGCTGCTCTTGGCAGCCTCGGCGTCAACGCTGCGTCCGTGATGGGGCCGTCCAGAGGGGGGGGGGCCCCTTGGGGGCCTTTGGGGTGCCTCGAGGCCCTCCTGGGCCGATCTGGGGCCTTCTTGGACGGTCGTGCGGGGCTTGGTCCGTGAGGGTGCCCTCTCGGAGGCCCTCTTGGCGGTCTCCTGCTCTCTTGGGGGCCTCTCGGGGCCCCTGTTGAGCCGTCCTGGGGCTCTCTGTGACCATCCTGGGGCCCTCGTGGGCCGTCTTGGGAGCCTCCTGGCCCGTCTTGGAGCCACCTCGAAGCTCTCAGAGCCGTCTTCGGCCATCTGGGTCCCCCAAGAAGCGATACTCACAAGACTACAGGAAACACCTCAAGAAGTCAATGCGCTTGGCCTCCGCATGACGTCTTGGGGATCCTCGTGGGAGCATGCTGGGCCGTCCTGGGGGCCTCTTGGGCCATCTTGAAGGGCTTGGGCCACCTTGGGGCCCTCTTGAGGCCATCTTGGGCCCGCAACTTCCTATTGCCCTATTTGGGCTCTCTTTGGAGCCCCTTGGGGTCATCTTTGACCCCTCATTGGGTTTTTCTGTGGCCATCTTGGGGCCCTCTTGGGAACCTCCTGGGCCGTCCTGGGGCAAATCTCGGAAACGGCACGAACCTACCAAATAATGAAACGACTCAAGAACATCAATACTAATATGCTGTGCCTCCTCAAGCCGTCTGGGGCGTGCTCTTGGGGGCCTCTTGGGCCGTCCTGGGGGCCTCTTGGGCAGTCTTGGGGTGCTTGGGTCGTCTTGAGACCCTCTCGGGGCCATGTTCGGCCATCTCCGGGGCCTCCCACAGCCCTCTTGGGGCTCCCTCAGAGGCCACTTTTGGGGCCTCTTGAAAATCTCTTGGGCCGTCTTGGGGCCCTCTTGGGCCGCTCCGGGGCGATCGGTCGGGCCTGTTGCGTCGCCGTGGGCCATCGGAAGCCTGAAGAGGCGAGAAGCATTCAAACATTCCACAAACCAAAGAACATCCATGTGTTTGGCCTCCTGAGGCTCTCTGGGGGGTCCTCTCGAGGGCCTCTGGCGCCGTCTTGGGCAACCTCGAGGCCATCCTCGAACGCTCCTGGCAGGTTTGGGGCCCTCTTGGAGCGCTCCTGGGCCGCCTTGGAGCCGCCTTGGAGCCCTCTTGGACCTGTCTCGGGGCCGTCTTTGGGACCACTTGGGCGTGTGCTGGGGACTCCTGGGCCGTCTTGGGGGGGGCTGGGGGGGGGGGCGTGTTGCCCGGATGTGCCCGCGCTTCGCCCCCTCCCCTGAACCACCCCCCATTGAAAGCTTCGCCCACCAGAACGCCATCACTCGTACAGTCAACCCTCATGGTAAGGATGGGCAGCCTTCCCAAGGGTACCCGTGCATCCTTGCCTCCTCGGCCCATCCTTGGCCATTTTCGTTCGCCGCGCCGCGCTCGAAAAGCTTTGAAATGGGCGCCCAAAGTCATGGCATCCTTGTCGCGCATCCTTCTAATGCGGGCCGACTGTACCTCGATCTTCCCGTCACCCAGATAATCCCGCGCTTCACCCCCTCCCTGGACCCCCCCCGTTTGAGGCTTCGCCCCACCAAAACGTCATCACTCGTGCCTCGCTCTTTCCGTCACCCAGCGAAGCCCGCGCTTCGCCCCCTCCCTGGACACCCTCCTTTTGGGGGCTTCGCTCCACCCGAACGTCACCACTCGTTCGCCCCCTCCCTGGACGCCCCGCTTTTGAGCCATCGCCTTGCCAGAATGTTATCACTCGTACCTCCCTCTTGCCGCCACCTGGGCCGGCACGGGAACGGAAAGAGCGCTTCAGGAACCGCCCGAAGAGGGCTCATGGCACCGTTCGCTCTTGAGAGCCTTGGCGTGAAGAGCTGTTTCTCGTCACCGTTCGCTCGTGGGAGCCTTGGTGTGAAGAGCTTGTTCGCGTCATTGTTCGCTCTTGGGAGCCTTGGCGTGAAGAGCTGTTTCTCGTCACCGCTCGCTCGTGGGAGCCTTGGTGTGAATAGCTTTTTCGCGTTATCGTTCGCTCGTGGGGGCCTTGGTGTCACGAGCTGTTTCAGGTCACGGCTCGCTCGTGGGAGCCTTGGTGTGAAGAGTTGTTTACGTCACCGTTCGCTCTCGGGAGCCTTGGAACTAACAGCTGTTTACGTCACCGTTTGCTCTTGGGCAACTTGGCGTTAAAAGCTGTTTACGTCACCGTTCGCTCTGAGGAGCCTTGGCGCTAAGTCCTTCATGCGCTACTGCTCGCTCTTGGGATCCTTGGCGTTCAAAGCTTTTTGCGTCACAAGGTCGTGTAACAAACCTTCAAATCACATGCTAAACTTGGACGTTGACGTCAAAGCTGCGTCCGTCATCGGGCCGTCCTGGGGTGGTCCTCTGGGGCCCTTTTGGGTGTCTTGGGGCCCTCTTGGGCAGTTCTGGGGCCCACTTGGGCTGTCTTGGGGGGGCTTGGCCAGTCTTGGGGCCATCTTCGGCCCTCTTGGCGCCTCCTACGGCACTCTGGGGGTTCTCTTGGGAGCTTCTTGGATCATCTTTGGCCCCTCTGGAGCCGTCTTGGGCCTCTCTGTGGCCGTCCTTGGGCCCGCATGGGCCGTCTATGGGCCCTCCTGGGAACCTTCCGGCCCGTCTTGGAACAATCTCGGAGGCCCTCACACACGCAGCGAAAAACGTGTATGACAGCGCCCACGAAACCGCAAAAACACCGTGCACGTCGAGCCCCGCTCAAGGAAGAGGAGGAGGAGGAGGAGGAGGAGGAGGAGGAGGAGGAGGAGGAGGAGGAGGAGGAGGAATGGGGATATGACCCGGGAGACGTCAGGCTCGGGTTGGCCCGACGGGGCCATCGTGAAGATGACGAGACCCAATGTTGAATTTGACGCGAACTCCTCCTCCTCCTCCTCCCTCCTCCTCCTCCTCCTCCTCCTCCTCCCTCCCGCGAAAACTGGACCGTCAAAATCCAAGACGCGCTCGTCAAAAGGTGCCGGCAAACCCGAACTCCGGCGTGCTCGAGTCTTCCGTTTCCCCGATCTGAGTTGGCATACAAACAGAAACTGTCGGAGGTCCGCGCGAATTCGGCCAGCGCTGGGAGGGTCCAGCGCCGCCGTGGGGGTCCAGTGCACCCCCTCCAAAAAAAAACGACGCGCGGACGCTTGTCAAAGTTGCTCTTCCTCGAGGGTGAGTAGTCGGGCCCCTCCCCCGTCCTCATCTTCAAGGTCAGCGCACTGCTGCGATGCGTTGCCCATCCCTTCCCTCTCCCCTCACCCACTCGCCTGCGGCGTCAGCATCTCCGCAACGGATCAGTTGCTGCCGCACCCACGAAGTATCCCGTGATCGACGCATCCTGCTGATGCGGTGATGGGTTGACGAATGTGTTGCCACCCAACTACAGTCCCCCTCTTCTTCCTTCTCCTCCTCCTCCTCCTCCTCCTCCTCCTCCTGCTCAGCGCCATCGTGATGGGCACTCGGGACTTTTGGTTGATGCAGGCGAGTGGCGCGTTCTTACCACTTTCCTCCATCGTCCCGCGCGAAAGCAGCCATTTGAGAGGCCTCCCAGATGAGGTCGGAGTTGATGGGGTCGGTGGATCGCACCGCGTCGCCGATGAATCGGCGACGTCGGCGATGCATCGGCGCCGTCGGCGTGGAGAAATTCGGGCTCCACATCGAGCCGCATGGCCGATGCATCGGCTGTGCGCCGCGATCCTCCGACCCCACCTGGGAGAAAGGACATGGCGAACCAGGGGACGCGCAAGGCTCATTGCTTGCCTCGGACTTTGGGGGGGCGGGGGCGGGTGTCCGGCAGGACGAAAGACCTCCTGGCATAAGCATAAACATAGACTTCTGACGGTCCGATAATTCATATTTGTGACATTGTTGGTCGGTCAGGGCCACCAGAAACAGAAAATAGCGAACGCATGTTCTTCATGACTTCAGGGGGTCTCGCGGACGCACTGGCCTGGATCAATGCAAACCAGGGTCAGTCAGGCTCTGCAGGATCCTCCAAGATCCTGCGCGCTGGCCAAGGTCGGTGCATCCCTGGCTCTGCAGGATCCTGCAAGATCCGGCGCTCTGGCGGGCCCCCGTTGACATGGACCCCGTCGCTGGGGCCCCGAGGGTCTGGGTCCCGAGGCCGCCCGTTGCCGGGTACCCGTCTCGGTGGCGCTGACCTGCCACGCTCAGGTCGGGCGTGTCCTCCTACAGGCGGATCTTGGCAGAACCATGCATCAGATTCGAATCGTATCCCCAGATGGCTAGAAATCGTAACAAAAAACTCGCCCCCCTGCTATTTTTCCCTATTTCTCAACGTTCCTCCTGTAGAGGGACATGCCCAGCTGAATGCCACGCGCCCCCTCCGCCCCGCCTGCTCCTCCAGCAGCTCGAGGTGCAGCGGCATGCCCACCTGGGCCACACGCAGGGAGGGGCGCCGGTCGGCGGCACGCCCAGGGGGTGGGGGGGCGCGATGGCAGGGAGGTCGGACGAGGCCCGGGCGGCCAGGGCGAGGACAATTTCGGGTGAGAATGCAGCGCAAGCCAGTCTCCTCCTCCTCCTCCTCCTCCTCCTCCTCCTCCTCCTCCTCCGCCTCCTCCTCCTCCTCCTCCACAAGAAACCTTCCGCAAGACACCCAGGCCTGAGACCTCCGGGCGCCCATGGATGTTGGGTGTGGGGGCGTCACGCTCTCCATATGGCAAGTGCATCGAAACCCAGGAAGCCCGGCGCACGCTGGAGGCAAGCAGGGTGTTGCTCAGCATGGGCCCCCACTGCAAATCGAGAGTCTCTCTGAGATCCGGCCAGTCTGGAGAATCTCTCGGGCGCCGCGGCCTTCCCAGAGCGTTCCAGCACGCCTTCACCGATCAATGCTTGTCCTACCCCCGTCCTAAGGGGGCACGCCCTCTTAGATGGCTGCGGGGCTTCTCAGAAGCCACCCGGCCTTCTCAGCAGCCGTCTATGTCTTCGGGGAGGGCTCAGAACATTTTTCAGAAGGACAGAGGCATATCGGAAGGGGCCCCAGGACACACAAATAAATTCACACAAATGAAAACATTCCCCATATTTTCCCATATTTTCTGGGTTTCTGTCTTCCCCCCCACTTCCCATATTTTCCTATATTTTCTGGGAAATCGAGGATAATTGTGTCTGTGTGTTTCTTTTCCTCTTGAATATCGAGCCTTCGGAGGAGGCCCGGCCTCTCTGACTCTGCCCCCGGGCTCGCCGCCGAGCTTCTGCGAGAGGGACCTCTGGCCCCAGACCCCCAGCGTCAGATCTGTTCTGAAACGTGGACCCCCAAGAGTTGGGCGTGGCTTAATGGGGGGGCCACAAATGGGGGGGTCAGAAAAGGTCCCCTTTCGTGCCCCTTTCGGGCCCCTCCGGAGCCCCAGGGGGCTCGTTTAGGTACCCTTTGGGTACCTTTTCGGACCACCCGCGACACCCCCCCATTTATGACCCCCCCATTACGCGGCGCCCAAAAGAGTTCTGGACTTCTTCCCCCGGAACGGCTTTTAACCCCGAGTCTCTTTCACGACGGCCCCGAGGGGCCCCGTGCGAGCCCCCAGAGGCCGAACATAGCAAAACACCTCCCGCTGCGCAAAGGGACGTCTGTGGTGCGCGGTCTGCCAGCCGCAGCGCGCGGTGCGACTGGTCGTGTGAGGTCGGGCGTATCCTCTTACAGGCGAGTATGTTAAACATGCTTGCACATGGTGAGAATAGTCAAGAAGTCATACCCAGACTATCTTTTGACTAGTTTAATTTTTTCCTCCTGAAGAGGGACATGCCCAACTTAATGGTAGTGGCCTGTACGCGCTTGGGTTTGGCTCCCCCGCGCCCCCCCCCGGGAAGCTGCGCACCATGGGTTTCTCCGGCGAGATGGGGGCCAGGAAGAAGGGGATTGGCGTTGCCTGGCCCAGGGCCAGCGCGCGGACGAGGAGGATCCACGGGGCGTGCTGAAAGAAGAATAAGACGAAGCCAAGACGAGGACAACATCGGGTGGGGATAAGTCGCGAATCGCTGGAGAGAGGCGGCTCTGGAGGATGTCTCGGGCGCCGCGGCCTTCCCAGAGCGTTCTGGAACGCTCTGGAACGGCTTTACCCGGCGTTCTGGAACGCTCTGGAATGTCCTCCTAGAGGCGACTTTGAATGACACGTAAAAACGTATTGAATGTAGCCAATCCTGAAAGAAACACCGTCCCCAGACTCTGTTTGACTATCTTGAATATTCCGCCTGCAGAGGGGACATGCCCGACTCAGTCCTAGCCCCGTCCGGACGAAGATTGGCGGCGCGCACAAGGGGGTGGAGGGAGGGGGGAGGGCTTCCTAGAAGGAGGCTGCTTTTAGAAGGCGCCAGCCTTACATCGGAGGTGAGGGGGTGAGATCGATATGGAACGGAGAGCCCCCCTACCGGGAAATCGATTTCGGTTTCGTGTTCGTGCGTGCCGTGCGTGCGGGCGAGCCGAAACTGCGTGGGCGGGCGAGAGGAAAGTCTCCTGTGGCTGAGGCGCGGCCGGACCAAATGATTCTCCACCGGGCGGCCGGTGGCGCGCGGTGTCCCGCCGGTGTCCCGGTGGTGTCCTCTGTGGCTGAGGCGCGGCCGGACCAAATGATTCTCCACCGGGCGGCCGGTGGCGCGCGGTGTCCCGCCGGTGTCCCGCCGGTGTCCCGTCGGTGTCCCGATCATGATGTTGATGATGATGATGATGATGATGATGATGATGATGATGATGATGATGATGATGATGATGATGATGATGATGATGATGATGATGATGATGTGATGATGATGATGATGATGATGATGATGATGATGATGATGATGATGATGATGATGATGATGACGTCGATTGCGAGATCGATTGTGATCGGTAGTGAGACCGAATGTGAGACCGAATGTGAGATCGATTGTGAGATCGATTGTGAGATCGATAGTGAAATCGATAGTGAGACCGAATGTGAGATTGATTGTGAGATCGATTGCGAGATCGATAGTGAGATCGATAGTGAGACCGAATCTGAGATCGATAGTGAGATCGATAGTGAGATCGATAGTGAGATCGATAGTCAGATCGATTGTGATATCGATAGTGAGATCGATAGTTAGACCGAATGTGAGATCGATTGTAAGATCGATGGTGGGATCGATAGTCAGATCGATTGTGAGATCGATTGTGATATCGATAGTGAAATCGATAGTGAGACCGAATGGGAGATCGATAGTGAGATCGATAGTGGGACCGAATGTGAAATCGATAGTGAGATCGATTGTGGTATCGAGAGTGAGATCGATCGAGTGCGACGCTGGTCCCTCCCCCCCCCTCACCTCCTTATCACCCGAAGGGTGGTCGTATAGGTATACGTATGTATATATATATATAGAGAGAGAGAGAGAGAGAGAGAGAGAGAGAGAGAGAGAGAGAGAGAGAAAAAAAATAAAAAATAAAAAAAAGGCCCGCGCCTTCTAAGAAGCAGGGGTGCTTCTAAGAAGCCCTCCCCCCTCCCCCCACCCCCCTCTGCGCGTGGCTGAGAAGAGGCCGCCGTGACACCCGGGAGGCAGCCGTGGCCCTGGCCACGAGATCCTCCCCGCCGCCTCGCCGCGATGCTTGCGCGTGGCGGCACTGCTCGGGCCTCACGCCTCGGGCCGCCCGCGGCCGCTGGGGTCGAGGCGGGCGCGGCGCGCCCCCCAAGGAGAAAGCTCTCCACGGGGCGCATGGGCATCATTCTACACTTCAATACCTAAGTAATTATAATTATAACAAAATTTTATTAATAAGGATACGAATAAAAATACTCATAACAATAAAAATGATGATAATAATAATGATACGTCCGGGAACCGACGAGGACCTCCCGCCCCCCCTCCCCTGCCCCGCTTCGGCCGAAAAAAGGGGGGGGGTTGGCGACTCGGCCTGCGCATCTGGTCTTCCTGGCGCCGGGAGGCGCCAGCGCATCCAGGAGCGCGCGCGGCGGCGGAGCCGAAACCATCTCTGTGTGCACCAAGTTTCGGGCCCCACCCCCTCGCCCTACACCCCCCCCCCTCGCTCGACGGCGTCTTCCCCGTCCTGCCCCGTAAAAACCCTCTCCTCGCCGGCTCGAGGAAAATTAGATGCCTCCCACAGGGGGCCCGAGCAGGATGGGGCCAGAGGATCGCGCCGCATCGCCAATGCATCGCCCATGTGTCGGCGATGCATCGGCGACGTCGGCGGCGTATCGGCGACGTTGGCGTGGAGAACATCGGGCTCGGCATCGCGCCGCATCGGCGATGCCTCGGCGTTGCGGCGCCACTCTCCGACCCCATCTACTGCAAACCCACTTGGGAGGCTCAATTTCTAAAAACGGTTTCAGAAATCAACCTGGGGGGACGATTTAAATCAGTTGTATTCCCATAACGCTGTAGCGCACATACCGAAAACATCATGAAAGCGGGGCAAACCGGACCGCCGGGGACGTCCCCGCGACCGCCCTGGCGCTCCGCGTCGAACATCAAACCATACTACCTCACCAATCAATCGGGCGACACCGTGTCACCCCCCGAACTTATATAAAAACAAAACACAATTGACATTCTGGGATGGGGGGGGGGGCCATGCAGCTTCACAGAAAGCAGCGAGTGACACGTGTCACCTCCGGAATCGCACGAGAAGGTCGATCGTGAATTTGGGATTCCGGGAGCCAACAGAAAGCCATTCCGCCTCACAAACAACAACGGGTGGCACGTGTAGCCCCCGCCCGCAACCGACGTAGAAACAAACAACATGCAAATCCCACCAGCCCTTTAGGGCGTAGGTGGTCTAGAGCGTTTCCTCTGCCAACCCCCCTTCTTTCCCTTCGGGGAGGGGTTTACCCCTCCCCTTACCCCTCCCCACTGACCTGGACGAGGCGTCCCGCGAGGTGTCAGGGACGCCCAAGATGGCTCAAGACGGCTCCAAGAGCGAAAAAGCGAGAAAGCACAAAACATTGATTTTTCCTAGGTTTTGGAAGGATTTTGGCCTCTTGGGGGGGCCCAAGAGGCGCTTCGAGGCACTCTAGAGGGGCAACCCTAATTGGAGCTCCCCCCTTCTTTGATAGATCTCCTCCAAGATGGCCCCAAGAGCGCCCCGAAGGCTCCCAAGAGCGCCCCAAGAGCGCCCCAAGAGGGCCCCAAGAGACCCCAAGAGGCCCCCAAGAAGCCTCTAAGAGGCTGCCAAGAGACCCCCAAGAGGCCCCAAGAGAGTTCAAGATGGCCCAAGACGGCTCCAAGAGCGAAAAGGCGAGAAAGCAAAAAACATTGATTTTCCTTAGGTTTTGGAAGGATTTTGGCCTCTTGGGGGGCCCAAGAGGCGACTCGAGGCACTCTAGAGGGGCAACGCTAATTGGGGACCCCCTCTTCTTTGATCGATCTCCTCCAAGATGGCCCCAAGAGCGCCCCGAAGGCTCCCAAGAGCGCCCCAAGAGCGCCCCAAGAGCGCCCCAAGAGGCCCCAAGAGGCGCCCAAGAGGCCTCCAAAAGGCTCCCAAGAGACCTCCAAGAGGCCCAAGAGGCTCCCAAGACGGCCCAAGACGGCTCCAAGAGCGAAAAGGCGAGAAAACACAAAACATTGATTTTACCTAGGTTTTGGAAAGATTTTGGCCTCAAGAAGGGCCCAAGAAGCGATTCGAGGCACTCTAGAGGGGCAGCGCTAATTGAGGACCCCCCCTTCTTTGATAGATCTCCTCCAAGATGGCCCCAAGAGCGCCTCGAAAGCTCCCAAGAGCGCCCCAAGAGCGCCCCAAGAGAGCCCCAAGAGGCCCCAAGAGGCCCCCAAGAGGCCTCCAAGAGGCCCCCAAGAGACCCCCAAGAGGCCACAAGAGGCTCCCCGAGATACGCAAGAGGCCCCCGGGACCGCCAAGAGGCCCAAAGACGGCCCAAGAGGCCCCCAAGCTCGCCATTGTCCTCCTCCTCCTCCTCTTTTTCTTCCTCCTCCCTCCTCCCCCTCCCCCTCCTCCTCCTCCTCCTCCTCCTCCTCCTTTTCCTTTTCCTCCTTCTCGTCCTCCTCGTCCTCGCAGTCCTCCATCTCCTCCTCCTTATCTTCCTCCTCCTCCTCCTCCTCCTGCTCCTCCTCCTGCTCCTCCTCTTCCTCCTCCTACTCCGACGACGACGGCTCCTCCTACATCCTCCCCCTCTTGGGGTATATGGCGGCTCACCCCGCCCTCTGTTCTTCTGCATGCTCCCCCGCTTCCCTCATAACCTCCACTCCCCTGGGACTCATTTCTGGACGGGCTGGTGGGGATACGCGAAGCGTCTAGAATTTGACAGTCTGGGCCAACATCAAGCCATCTTCACAACAAAACACACACAAACCAAACAAGGGCGACAAGTGTCACCCACGAAACCGCGGGAGAAAAGCCACTGGTGAATTTGGGATTCTGGAGCCAACAGAAGGCCATTCAGTCTCACAGACACAACGGGTGACACGTGTCACCCCCGAAACCGCTGGAGGCAAACGACTTGTAAATTCTGGATTCTGGGAGCCAACAGAAGGCCATTCAGCCTCACACCGCGCGCGAAGAACTGGACGCCACCGCGCGGCGCGCACGCGCGCGCAGTCGCGCGCGCGTACGTACGTACAGTGTCCCAGTAAGACGATAACGACCTACTCGTCGACAGAAGTAGCCTGCACATCTGCACGCGTACAGTTCATGCGCATATGCCAATGTATGCGCCTGCGTGCGTGTGTATACACATATATGCATACGACCAGAATGTGAATGTATCAATCGCCACCGTTCGGTCTCCGTGGAATATGTTCCAGGGGGCAATTTTAGAAATACCAGGCGAATTAATGGCAGTCGGGATCCGGGAGGGGGAGGGGGGGTCATCATCTTTTGAACAGATTTTGGACAATAAAGAGTCGGGGGCGTGTAGGAGGAGGGTGCGCAAATCATGGCCCAGGGGGGGGGGCCGGGAAAATATTGAAATGATAAGAGGCGCCAGAAAATCTGGGGAGATCTTGTGGCCCCCGCCATGAGATCCACCCCCCCTAGTCGTCCCCCCCCCCCCCTCTTGGCCGCCCTCGATAGAGAAGATGACCTGAGGGGCCCGGGGGACAAAACGTCGGTCACACGCTGCACCTTCCCTGGCTCGGGCATAACACTCGCCCTTGGGCCCAGAGCTCCCCGGCGTCCCCCCCCCCCCCCCCCCGGGGCCCCGGGGGCCCCGGGGAGGAGGAGGAGGAGGAGGAGGAGGAGGAGGAGGGACCCCGTCGCGGGACCAGATATTCATCCCGAGTCGTGTTTGTCCCTGCCATCAGGTCGGGCATGTTCTCCTACAGGCGGATGTTGGAAGACAACTAGAGCGTAGCCAAACACACCCAACAATAGTCAGAAGGAGCACGACAGATCGTGAACCCTTCTACTACTGTTGACTACCTTTCTTGTAGAGGGACACGCCCGACTTTCCCTCGCCATCCTGCTGTGAACTGGGCCTTCACTCTGAACCCGCGGCGCCGCGCCCCACCTCCTCTCCTCTCGCCCTCCCCCCCCACCTCCCATCCCTGTTCGCCATCCGCTTCCGTTTTTCCCATCGTACTTGAGGACCACGTCCCATACGTAAATCCGAGCACCCGGACACGTATCGAGGCAGTATCGAACGAGCATCGCCTCCCAGGGCCCAACGCGCGAACACCCTCCGGCCTCGGTGCGTTCTTACTGAACACAATCCTGCCTGGCGATCCATGGGACGCACGGGGACATACTAACACCATATGTCCTCCTTGGAGGCGCGAGTCCGGCCCGAACATCAGTATACTCCAGATTCCGTAATAAAAGGGAGGGGGTCTGGACCCTCCAAGACAAGCCATCTCAGACCTCCCCCGTGGGAGAACCCTCCAAAACATCGTCCCCAGACCCCCCAGGCCCTCCAAGATAGCCTGGAAGAGACCCCCCCCGAAATGAGACCCCCCTCCCTTTATTACGAAATCTGGAGTACCCATCTTGTAGTATATCCTTTCCCGAGCGGTGTGGCCAGAAGGCGCCCGCCACGACGCACATACTATGAGATCTCTCGGTGCGCGCGTCGCCCCTGAGGGGGGGGGGGGGGGACGCACACATAGTAGAAGTGTGTCGGGGTGACGCCGACCTAAAGCCCAAAGGGGGGGGGCGTCCGCATGCGGCCGTCCTACCGCGGACCTCCCAATACTGGAGACAGCTGAGGTGCCTGAGCTGGTCGGGACCCCAGGAAGTCCGCCGGGCTAGGGGTGATGAGGCCGAGCAATCAGCATCTGCCCCGAGACCCCTCCCGAGGCCCACCGCTGGCCATCGCTCGGACGTCCATTCCCTGTGCTTTTTTCGATGTCGTGCGTGGTTTTTTCGCCAAATGATCCAAGATGCTCCTCGATGGTCCTCGCCGACAGAAAAATGCACACGTCCGAGCGATGCCAAGCACCGGGTGCAATTTTCCACGCCCGGATCTGTCTCTCACGGTCCCAGGGCGCGCCAGCGGCCCCTGTCTATAGGAAGGCCGAGGAAGGCAAGACGACGCCCCGAACCCGGGGCCCCTCGCACCTCGAGGAGGAGGAGGAGGAGGAGGAGGAGGAGGGAGGAGGAGGAAAGAAGGAGGAGGAGCCGGAGGAGGAGGAGGAGGAAAGAAGAAGGAGGATGGAGGAGGAGGAGGAGGGAGGAGGGGAGGAGGAGGAGGAGGAGGAGGAGGAGGAAAGAAGGAAGAGGCCCCTCCGCTCCTGCTGGCCAGAGCCGGTGCAGGGGCCACCTCCGGCCCCGAGCCGGCTCCAGCGTGGATCCCCATGCTGCCAGCCAAGTCGGCAGGCATCGGCAGGCTGGCACGGCCTCCTCCTCCTCCTCCTCCCCTCCTACTCCCCCTCCTCCCTCCTCCTCCTCCTTCCTCCTTCTCCTCCTCCCTCCTCCTCCTCCTCCTCCTCCTCCTCCTCCTCCTCCTCTCCTCTCCTCCTCCTCCTCCTCCTCCCTCCTCCCTCCTCCTCCTCCCTCTCCTCCTCCTCCTCCTTCCTCCCTCCTCCTCCTCCTCCTCTCCTCCTCCTCCTCCTCCCTCCTCCCTCCTCCTCCTCCCTCCTCCCTCCTCCTCCTCCCTCCTCCCTCCTCCTTCCTCCTCCTCCTCCTCGTCCTCCTCCTCCTCCTCCTCCAGCCGAGATCCGAGTCGGGATCCAGAGTCGAATCGAAACAGGAACTCTTCGAGACCCGAGCGAGTCGGGTGGGATATCGAGAGATGAACCCTGAAAGTGAGCATGTCTTCGTACGCGGCGATGACGGGCGTCATGGTCGGGGAGACGTAGAACCTGGGTACGAGGGACTCGGGTTGGCCTAACGGGGCCATCATGAAAATGACGAGACCTAATCTGAAAGTTGACGCGAACTCCCACTGCAAACCTCGCGCGGACCCTGGGCCGTCAAAATCCAGGTCCGGGCCCGTCAAATAGAGAAGGCGAACCCGAATTCTGGCGTACAGTCAACCCGTTTTATAAGGATGCGCGGTAAGGATGCAAAGACCTTGGAGGGCCAAGTTGACGTTTCTCGAACGAGGCTGGCCAGCGAAAGCCGCTAAGGATGGGCCGAAGTGGCAAGGATGGCAAGGGTACCATTGGGAAGTTTACCCATTCCTACTACGCGGGTTGGCTGTACTCGAGTCTTACGTTTCGCCGACGTGGGGGGGCGGGAGGGGAACAGGGGGCGGGGGGAGCACAACGCAACGCCCCCCGCCCTGCCCTCCTTCTCGCCTCGCCCCCTCCTCGCCCCCACCTCTCCTCCTCGCCCCCATCTCCTCGATTCCCCCCATCTCGGTTCCCCCCCTCCTGGCCCTCCCCCCTCCTCGCCCCCCCTCCTCTCCGCACCCCCCCCCCTCCTCGCCCCCCCCTCCTCCTCCTCCTCGCCCCCTCCTCGCCTGGCCCGCCCCCCGAGGGGGGAGCCTCGCGAGGGCGGCGCTGCGTCGTGATGGGGGGGGTGGCAGCGCTGCGCTCTGGGGGGCGGCGCCGCGCCGTGGCGGGGGGAGGGGAGGGCGGGGCCGCACGCGCCGTCGTGGCCCGGAGGGGTCAACGAAAAAACACTCTCTGACGTGGCCTCCCCCGTGGCCACCAGCTGCCCCTCGTCGCCGCAGGGCGAGCGCGGCGCGGCCGCGGGCGCGCCCGCGGGGGCGGCGGCCCGCAGCCGCTGCGCCCGCGCGCGCTCGGCGTGCACGGCCTGCTCGAGCTGCGACGCCTCCACGGCCCTGGGGGCGGCGGCGGGGACGACGACGGCAGCGACGACGAAAACGACGACGACGACGACGACGGCGACGACACCGGCGAGGACGGCAAGGACGAGGACGACGACGACGACGGCCACGACGACGTCGACGAGGACGACGACGACGGCGGCGACGGCGAGGACGACGACGACGGCAACGATGTCGACGACGACGACGACGACGGCGACGATGACGGCCAAGACGACGACGACGACGATGGCGACGATGACAACGACGACGACGACGACGACGGCGGCGGCGACGACGACGACGACGACCACGACGACGGCGACGACGACCACGACGACGACGGCGACGGCGAGGACGACGGACGACGACGACGGCGGCGGGAACGGCGACGACGACGATGACGGCGACGACGACGACGACGACGGCGGCGGCGACGACGACGACGACGACGACGACGACGACGACGACAGCGACGACGACGACGGCGAAGGTGGCGACGACGACGACGACGACGACGACGGCGTTGACGACGACGACGACGACGACGACGACGACGACGACGGCGATGACGACGACGACGACGACGACGACGGCGACGGCGACGACGGCGACGGCCACGTTGACGACGACGTTGATGACAACGACGACGGCGACGACAGCGACAACGGCGACGACGACGACGACGCGGACGACGTGGACGACGACGGCGGCGGGGACGGCGACGATGACGACGACGAAGACGGCCAAGACGACGACGACGACGACGACGAGGGCGACGACGACGACGGCAACGACGGCGACGACAAAGACGACGGCGGCGACGACGACGAAAACAGCGGCGACGACGGCGGCGACGACGATGACGACGGCGACGACGACGACGGCGACGAGGACGGCGACGACCAAGATTGACGGCCACGACGACGATGACAACGAGGACGACGACGGCGACGCTGCCTGCGACGACGACGACGACGACGACGAACTCGCGGACGACGACGACGACGACGACGGCCGACGACGGCGACGACGTCGGCCGCGACGACGAGGACGAGGACGATGACAAGTACAACGACGAGACGACGAACACGACGACGACGGCCCCGACGACGTCGACGACGACGACGACGACGGCCACGACGACGACGACGCCGACGGGATAACCGCAGAGGAGATCGGCAAAAAGAAGAGCCCCCCAGTGACCCCCTAGGCGTCACCAAGAGGCCCCAGGAGTCTTGCAAGAGGTGCCCGCGAGGCCCTCAACAAGCCAATCAAATGCCCCCCAATAGCCCTCGAAGAGGCCCCTGAGAGGCATTCCGGGAAATCCCCGCGTATCCCCGAAGCTTCTGACCCACAGGCCAGGCATGGTGGCACGACTCATTGACGAATTCAGTGTTGTGGGGATTGGCCTAGTGGCGTAAGCCTCTTGAAGCCCATGGAACATGAGCCAAGAGGGTGAAATGATTGCAAATGCGACCCGAATCGGTCCCCAAACTTGGGCAGGGACCGACCGTCCCGGCACTCCTATAGGCCTACCACGACATGTTCTTCGAACCCCCAAACAGAGTCTAAGAACAGGAACAAAGCTCGTAAGACATAAACCCGATGTGTTACAACAAGACATGATCCAAGAACACTTCGTACAGACCACAAACGGTTGTCAGAACTAGAGGACTCCTGGATGGGGTCGGAGTAGATGGGGTCGAAGGATCGCACCGCATCGCCGATACATCGCCGATGTATTAGCGATGCATCGGCGACGTATCGGGAACGTCGGCGATGCCTCGCTGGCGTCGGCGTGGACAGTCGGACTCCGCATCGAACCGCATCGCCGATGCATCGGCGATGCGGCGCGATCCTCCGACCCCATCTACTCCGACCCCATCTAGGAGGCCGAGAAGAACATTCCTTGGTGGGCCTATAGGCGAGCCAGGACGCTTCGCCACTGTTTGACAGACACCTCCCCGCGGTCGAAACTGCCCAAAATTTCTCGAGTCGCGTCCAACCGTGGCGACCAAAGAGGCGCTCTCTCCCCCCGGTGCGGCTACGCGCAGCAGGGGGTTCCGGGGAGGGGGAGGGGGAAGGCTTCTTGGAAGCACCCCTGCTTCTTAGAAGGTTGGGCGTGGCTTAATGGGGGGGTCACAATGGGGGGGTCAGAAAAGGTCCCCTTTCGTACCCCTTTCGGGCCCCTCCAGAGCCCCAGGGGGCTCGTTTAGGTACCGTTTGGGTACCTTTTCGGACCACGCTCGCCACCCCCCCATTTATGACCCCCCCATTACGCGGCGCCCAAGAAGGCGCGAGCCTTGTTCGGGCCGGGCGAAAGGGGGGGATAGCAAAGGGGGGGGGGGGGAGAATCAGCTCTCGTAGCTGATTTTCCCGGCGCCTCCTGGCGCCGGAGGCGGCTATGCATCGAGGAATGGGCCCGGCGGCGGGGCCGAAACCAGCCGCATGCAGCAAATTTCGAAACCCTCCCTTTCCCTATCCCCCCTTTCGTCCAGCCCGACTTGTCTGTAGATGGAAGGCCGGCGCCTTCTAAGAAGCAGCTTCCGTCTAAGAAGCCCTCCCCCCCTCCCCCCGATTATCCACCACTGCGTGTGGCCAACCCTTTCTCCCCCGCTCTGCTGACCAGAACCAGTGCTGGGCCACTTCAGCCTCCCAGCCATCCCGAGGTGCAGTCTGTCGTCCCCATGTCGTATGGGGGCCGACAGCTGGGGGGGGGGCATCGGAGGCTGCAGGAACGGGGCCCTGCCTAAGGGCGCCCCGACAGTGCACGCGAGGTGCTCCCTTCTACACCCGCCCCGTTCCCAGACCCTCGACGACGTGGTGGCTTGACACCGTCGACCACCAGAGGCCTTGACCCCTTCCCGGAGACCAGCTTCTCATACGGAATCGCCTGGGCGGTCCCGAGGCCCGGCGAGCCCCCCCCCCCCCTGGGCATCGCTCGGACGTCCATTCCCTGTGCTTTTTTCGGTTTCATGCGCAGTTTTTTCGCCAGATGATCAAGGATGCTCCTCGATGGTCCTCGCCGAAGGAAAAATGCACACGTCCGAGAGATGCCAAGCCCCTGGAGACCGCAACTGGTGCAAGACCCTCCGTCGTGATTTTTGTTCTCGGAGCGCGAGGGAGTCTGGGCTTTGTTGCCCCAGCAACCCCCGACCAGGGGGGGGGGGCTAAGGCAGAGGGGCAGAGCAGCTTCAGAAGGTTCCAGAGGCCCCTCGCCTGCTGCGGAGCTCTCCGCGCAATCTCTCCGAAGACCACGGCGAGGCCAGGACGGGGGCCAAATCCGAGCGAGGGTCCATCGGGGCCCTCTGAGACCCCGCGGCTCTGGAGGCTGCCTCGGGCGCCGCGGCCTTCTCGGAGAGCGCCCCGGAACGCCCCGAGAACGCTTCGGGATGCTCTGGAACAGATCTCCTCGACCTGCTCCTCCTCCTCCTCCTCTTCCTCCTCCTCCTGCTCCTCCTTGTCCTGCTCCTCCTCCTGCTCCTCCTCCTGCTCCTCCTCCTCCTCCTCCTCCTCCTCCTCCTCCTCCTCCTCCTCCTCCTCCTCCTCCTCCTCCTCTTAAGAGACTTGCCGCGTCGCAGCGCGGCAGAGGCGGGCCGCATGCGCGCTCGGGCGGGCCGGGACACGGCAGGCGCTAACCGCCCGGCAGCAGGGGGAGGGCGGGAGGGGGGCGCGGGCGGGCGGCCGCGGAGGAGGGGGGAGAGAAAGGGTGGGATCGGAGGGCACTCGCAGGGCGAGCTCCTCCGACGACGCACGGAGGCCTCTGAGAGGCCAGAGGCTTCGGAGCAGCCCCGCCGCCTTCTGAAAAGGCTCGCCTCCTCGCCCCCCCCTCCCAGAACCCCCACGTTGTGGTTCTGTTCATGCACAGCGTGGGCCCTACGCTCAGAGGGCTGGACCCCCTGCCCGGGACCGGGTTTGCATCCTGACTCGTGTTGCTGACGGTCCTGGCCCGGGGTGCAGGCCCCTGGAGGCCGAAAGCTGTCAAACACCTTCCGCCGATAGTTTGTTTCTGTCTTCACAACGAGATGAGGTGGAGGCCTACTTGCCCAAGCCTGCAGTAAGACACCCTCCAGGGCCGAGGCCGAGTGCGGAGAGCGCGGCCGCGGCAGGCTCAGTCAGCAGCGACTCGGCAAGTCGGACCGAACCGAAATATGCATCGGATCGGGCTGCATCGGCACGGAGGAGGCCACCAAGAGGCCCCCCAGAGGCTCCCACGAGACCCCTAAAATCCACCCCCAGAGACCCCCGATGGCATTCCCAAGAGACCCGAAGAAGCATCCCTGAGGACTCTGGCCCACGTCAGCGTCGTCGTCGTCGCCGCCGCCGCGTCGGTGTCGTCCCCCTGCAGGGGCGGCGGCACCGGCCGTAAGGCTAGGTCGGGCATGTCCCCCTACAGACGATCTCCGGCGAAAATTAAATAATAGTCCTAACATGCTAAAAAAACAAAAAATGGTATGGAAATCGTCCACAGGCTACTTCAACACTATTTTTGAATGTTCCTCCCGTAGAGAGACAGAACCGGCTTGACCGTAAGGCCTTCGCAATCGGAAGATCACCCCCGCGAATCGGCGACGGCCGACCTGGACCGTGACCAAGATCGGAGGAGGAGGAGGAGGAGGCGGAGGAGGAGCAGTGTGGAGGAGGAGGAGGAGGAGGAGGAGGAGGAGGAGCAGTGTGGAGGAGGAGGAGGAGGGGGAGGAGGAGGAGGATCCTGCAAGATTGAGCCCCGATGTGCATCGGATCGGGCTGCGCTGGCACGGCATCGACATGCGCATCGGATCGGCCGCATCAGAGTGCACAAAAAAGCAGCACCCTACAGGCATCGGGCCGCCTCGGATCGCCGAGACGTCGGCATTTCGACTCGGACTGGGTCGGCCCGAACTGGAAGGTCGGGCGAGTCCTCCTACAGGTGGATTTTGAACGACAAATCTGACATATTCCGAAATACGCCAACATAGCCAACAAAAATACTCACACAATTGTCCCCATGCTATTTTTTGACTAGTTTTGAATTTTCCTCCTGTAGAGGGACATGCCCGACTTAGAACTTGTATCGAATCGGATCGGCCAAATCAACATGGCGGTCCCCAGACCCCTCCTGGGGTCCATCTGGTGCAATTTGCTTCACGCTGGATCCTTTCTTCACGGCAGCGGGGCCCGAAAACGGCCCCCGAACGGACCCCCGAGGCCAGAAAAAGGTAAACTCCTGAACCCAGAACCTCAAACCTGCCCGCCCCTCCTGCTCGCCTGGGCCAGTGCTGGACCACCTCAGTGCTGGGCCAACTCAGACCTCCAGACGGCTCCAAGGTGGAGGCGTACACGTTGGTTGGGAGAATTCGGTAAAATCATGGCGCAGGAAGACGGATGAAGCAAATTTGTGCTCAGGCACTCCTCCCAGAGAATACCAAATCACAGCACAGGCACTTCGACTCTTGAGGTAGGAAGGCGCTTGACGTAGATTGGGACCTGGGAGTCCACAAGTACCTACTTTCAACGACCGACGTTCAGCTAAGCCTGAAGCACAGTAGAAGCTCGACCAAAAGAAACCTTCCACAAGAAACCACACCCTGAGACCCTGGGACGTCCTCTGATGGTTTCGGTGTGGGCAAGTCACGCTTTCCATTGCCAAACCATCCAAGCCCAAGAAACCCAGGGCACCCTGGAGGCCAGCAGGGTGTTTCTTGGCATGGGTTGCCACTGTAAAAACAAACTCCGCCACAACCCTGCACCCTGCTTTCTGAACCACTTTTCAAGCCGGATCGACCGGTGAGCGTTCTGGGGCCCGATGCCTGGCGGCAACGCCAAACTCGAAACGATTGCGACGCGAGGTCGGGCGCGTCTTTGCCCCGACGAGGGGAGGAGGAGGAGGAGGAGGAGGAGGAGGAGGAGGAGGAGGAGGAGGAGGATGGGGGCTAGGAGGAGGGCTAGGAGGAGGAGGAGGAGGAGGAGGAGGAGGAGGAGGAGGAGGAAGGAAGAGGAAGGAATAGGGAGAGGAGGAGGATGAGGAGGATAAGGAGGAGGATGAGGAGGAGGAGGAGGAAAAAGCGACGAGGAGTGACAGGAGGAAGCGAGCAGGAGGAGGTGGAGGAGGAGGAGGAGGAGAAAGAGGAGGACGACGACGAGGAGGATGAGGATGAGGATGAGGATGAGGATGAGGATGAGGATGAGGATGAGGATGATGATGATGATGATGATGATGATGATGATGATGATGATGATGATGATGATGATGATGATGATGATGATGACGAGGAGGAGGAGGAGGAGCAGGATGTGCTTCTTGGCATGGGCTTCTACAACACGACGCCCCCCGGAGCCGAGGCCGAGGGCGGCCGCGGCATCGCCTGTCTTCCAGGGCGGCCTCCTGGCGCCCCGCCTCAGCCTCCTCGGCCTCGAGCTCCGCCTCCAGCGCGCCGAGGCAGTCCCGGTGCCTGCCCGCCCTGCGCTCGCTCCTCGGGGGAGGGGGGGCCCGCCTCCCTCCTTCCCCCTCCTCCTTTCCCTCCCCCTCCCCCCCTCCCCTCCTTCCCCCCTTCCCCCCCCCCTGCTCCCCCTCCCCTCTCCCCCCCCCGCTCCCCCTCCCTTTCCTCCCTCCTTCCCTCCTTCCTCTCCCTCCTCTCCTCCTTCCCCTCCCCCTCACCCTCCCCTCCCCCCCTCCTTCCCCTCCCCCTACATTGCCTCCACAATTAACCAATATGGATACTACTCTCCTCTCTCCCCTGGTGGGGTCCAGGAAATGTTCGGCCCATCTCCGCGTACGGGTTTCTCACACACAAGATTCCCGGGAAACGGGTTTTCGCTTGGGTGTTTGTTAAAAATGCTGCTCTCGCTGAAGCACTGGTTTCATTGTCGGGCTACCGCTCGTTCCGAATCGTGCTCCCGCTGCAGCGCTGGCATCATTTCCGCGCTTTCGCCCGTTCCGAATCGTGGTCCCGCTGTAGCGCTGGTGCCGTTATTTCCAGTGCCATGCCACGGCATGGTTTTCGGTTCTTCCAAATCTGCCCAAAAATCTAGAAAATGTCCACCCGAAGAAACCATCGGAAGTCGGTGTCGATTCGTTGATTTTCTGGGCCGCAGAAGCCCCCCCCACTTTCAGGCTTCGCCATGCCATGCTATGTCAGGCTACGCGTCCGCATTTCCGCGCTTCCGCCCTCAGTTTTTTGTTGTTTTCTCAAAATGCTGCTCTCGCTGAAGCACTGGCATTATTTTCGGGCTGCCGCTCGTTCCGAACTGTGCCCCCGCTGCAACGCTGGACTCAGTTCCGCGCTTCCGCTCATTCCGAATCGTGCTCCCGACGCAGCGCTGGCGTCATTATTTCCAGTGCCATGCTACGGCATGGTTGTCGGTTCTTCCAAGTGGGTCCCAACATCTGAAACAAATGCATCCCGAAGAAACCAACGGAAGTGATTACACAGTCGGTGTCGATTCGTTGATTTTCTGGGCCGCAGAAGCCTCCCACTTTGGGGAGTCGCTACGCCATGCTGTGTCAAGCTACGCGTCCTCAGTTCCGCGCTCCCGCTCTTGCTTTTCCTGTGTTTGCAAAAAGCTGCTCTCGCTGAAGCGCTGGCCTTATTTTCGGGCTACCGCTCGTTCCGAATCGTGCTCCCGCTGACATGCTGGCCTCATTTCCGCGCGTCCGCTCTTTCCGAATCGTGCTCCCGCTGCAATGCTGGCGTCATTATTTCCAGTGCAATGCTACAGCATGGTTCTAGGTTTTTCCAAATAGGCCTCAAAGTCTAAAAAATCCCCCGAAGAACCGATCGGAAGTGATTATACATTCGGTGTCGAATGGTCGATGTTCTTGGCTGCTGAGGCCCCCGCCCGCTTTGAGGTGTCGCCACGCCATTATATGTCATGCTACGTGTTTATCGTCAACACCATGCTATGCCATGTAATGCTATGCCATGCTGCGACATCCGATTGTGCAAATACACAGGAGATCTACGCCATGGTGAGCAGCACTCCCTCACCCTCCCCCCCACCCCAAACTTCTCCTCTCCCTCCCTCTCCCCTCCCCCTCCCCGTGAAAGCCCCCCCCCTCCTCCCCCTCCTCCTTTCTCTCCCCCTCACCCCCCCTCCTTCCCCTCCCTCCCCCCTCCCCCTCCCCCTCTCCCTCCCCCTCCTCACCTCTCCCTCCTCCTCCTCCTCAGCCCCTGGGATGGGGGAGGCCTGGTCGCCGTCGTCGTCGTCGCCGCCGCCGTGGTCGTCGTCGTGGTCGTGGTCGTGGTGGTGGTGGTGGTCGGCGTCGGCGTCGGCGCCGTTTGAAGACCGATGGGTCGACGTGGATCGAGGGTCGACGGGCATCAGGGTGTCCGAGTGCCGGGAGCGGCAAAGAGGGGGGCGTCAAAGAGGGGGGGTGCAAATCATGACCGGCGGCATGTGCGCGGCCCAGCGGGGGTGCCAGGGACGTGATGAAACAAGAAGAGGCGCCATGCAATCGGGGAAATATCATGGCCCACGCCATGATATCCACCCCCCCCTAGTCATCACCCCCCTCTTTGCCGCCCCCGAGAGTGCCTGCAGGGGCCTCCGCGCTCCGGAGCGGGTGGGCCAGCGGCGGGCCAGGTCGGAGGAGGAGGAGGAGGAGGAGGAGGAGGAGGAGGAGGAGGAGGGCTAGGAGGGTGGGCCAGCGGCGGGCGAGGCGGGAGGAGGAGGAGGAGGAGGAGGAGGAGGAGGAGGAGGAGGAGGAGGAGGAGGAGCAGGAGGAGGAGGAGGAGGAGGAGGAGGAGGAGGAGGCAGGAGGAGAGACGGGGGGGCAATCATAATCACGCGGCACGGAGGCGCGCTGCGCCCCTCGCTTGACCACGAGGGCCGTGGCGGGGGCAGGCCTGCGCAGGCCCTGCGCGGCGAAGGGGGGTGGAGGGAGAGGACAGGACAGGACAGGACAGGACAGGACAGGATAGGACAGGACAGGACAGGACAGGATAATAGGATAGGCTAGGACAGGACAGGACAGGACAGGACAGGAGAGGAGAGGAGAGGATAATAGGACAGGACAGGACAGGACAGGACAGGACAGGACAGGACCGATCGCAAAGCGAGGCAACGACGCCCAGCCACACCACGGCACGAAGCGCGATGTGTGGAGCCGGGGGGACGGAGGGGATGGCGGAGGGCGCAGGCGCGCGGAGGAGCCGCGCGGGGGGGAAGAAGGCGAGGGAGGGGCTGCGAGCAGGGGCCGCGGGAATCGCGGGAGGCGCAGAGGGGGCGCGGGGTCGGCTGCCCTCGTCCCTCCGCTTCCTCCTCGCCGGTCCCTCCTTCCCCTCCTCCCCCGCCTCAAGAACTTGCCATCGCTCGGACGTCCATTCCCTGTGCATTTTTGCGGTGTCGTGCGTGTTTTTTGTTTTGTTGCTCGACGGTCCGGGAAGCTCCTCGATGGTCCTCGCCGAGAAACAAATGCACCCGCCCGAGCGATGCCAGGAGAAGCATCCTTCCTCCTCTCGTGGCGGACGGTGAAAGTATAAGATGGGCTGGTGTGCCCTGGGGGACGCCTGCCACGTGGCAGCCGTGAACAAGTCATGCCGCCACGTGCCGCCGTCGGCCTTTCTGACCGCCCTGGGACAAATGTCTGCGACGACGGACCCGCACATGCCATACCGATCGTCGCCCGCGAAACGCACGTCTCCTCTTTTCGTTCGTCTACTTCCACGGCGTCGTCGGACGATGTGTGTTGGTCACTGCGCGGCCCAAAACGTCCCGACCCCTTCCCTGGGATTTGCTAGTGTCCCGCGGCCCGATTCACGGTCACCCGAGGCCAATGTCGAGGAGCAATACGGCATCGAACAAATCGCCTCGGCGGAGATCTGGGCTCCCCGTCCTCATGTGTCATCCTGCCTCTTCTATTTTGAAGGGGAACTGGGACACACAAATAAATACACAAATAACATGTTTCCCCATATTTTCCAATATTTTCGGGGTTTTTGTCTTCCCCCCCACTCCCCATATTTTCCTATATTTTCTGGGGAGTCGCCGATTAATTGTGTCTGTGTGTTTCTTTCCCTCCTGATATTTGGACGGTCGTTAGAGTCGAGCGCTAACTCCCAAACACTCAGCGCAGAGGCGAGCGTTTGGGAGTTAGCGAACGAGGGCCCGAAAAAGGACGAACGAGCGAGGGCCACAGAAGGCACACGGAGGAGGGACAACGACCGAGCGAAGAATCGTGCCCAAAGGCACGGAGGGACAACACCGAACAAGCAACCCAGCTCAAAAAGGCACTAAAGCAACTCATCCTTCCTCGCCAGGGGGGGAGGGCAACTACCGGCGAACCTAGGGGCTCCTCTTGATCTCCGAGCGCAGCTCCGCCTCGACCTCCTGCGCTCCAGGAATAAAGGCGCAATGCACGGAAGGAGAGGCAGGATGAGAAGAAGGACAAGCGAAAACCCAAGACGCATCTTTGAGGTTGCAGTGCGAAATCCCTTCAAGTTCCCCCTGTCACACGTCCCTGCAGAAATTATCCGTAAAGGCTTCGCCCCATGCCGCAGGCCCCCTCTCTATCATGATGGAATATGACAGAGTCGCGTCGGTGCGTCTCGGCGCTGCCTTGGCGCATCTGGAAACAGCATGCGGGGGCGGAGATGAGTCATCAACGCATATTGAAACGTTGGTGTTATCCTAATGGAATTCGGCCGATCCCGCCACCGTGCCTGGGTTGTGGGTCTGAGGCCTCTTGTATATGTGTTTGGGTGTCTTGGGGAGCCTCTCGCGGGCCTCTTGCAGGCGGCTTGGGCGCCTCCTGGGGACCTCTCGGGGCCTCGTGGGGTATCTTGTGGGCTTATGGGAAGCATCTTGGGCGTGGCTTCGGCGCCTCTGGGGCCTCTTGTAGGAGATCATAGCCTCGGGGGCGCGAACGTGGCGCGATTTACAAGGGATCGTGGCCTCGGGGGCGCGAGTGTGTAGTAATTTACAAGGGGTCGTGGCCTCGGGGGTGCGAATTCAATGTAATTTCCAAAAGGTTCGTGGCCTCGCGGGCGCGAATGCGGCGTAATTTGCGGGGGATCGTGGCCTCGGGAGCGTGAATATGGTGTATAGTATAAGCGATCGTGGCTTCAAGGGCGCAAATCCTATGCATTTTTACGTGTCAGAAAAATTCTGAGAACCCCCCGAGTAAGGATATCCAGGCCCTTTCGGCTCCCCCCCTTTGCGCGGATAGTAACAATTTACAGTAGACAGCAGAAAGCAATACTGTAACATTGGAAACTGGAATTGGCGCAGGGAGCAGCACACCTCAGCCTCGCAGCTTGATCGCCCCGCAATGGGGCCCGCGGATTTCATTGCGGGAAATTCTCCATTGGAAGACAACCGTTTGAGAATCCTCCCACGCGCCAAGACACCATTCCTGGGACTTCAACACAGGATAGGTGGCGACATCCGAACCCAACCCCCACTAACCATAGATTCTGCCGAATCGATGGGGGGCGGGGGCAGGGTTCGGATTCCTCGACGTGTTCGACGCATTCCGAACCCTACCCCCGCCGCCCTTTGAGTTGACTGAATTGTTGATCGGCTAGGGTAGGAATCGGATTTCGCCGCCAAGTGGCGAGCGCCGAATCGGGGAAGGTCCCCTCAAGACATGTCGCCAAAGTCGCCTGAATTCATGACGGAAGGCGCCGATTCAGTTTGGAAATAATCCACGCTCCGTAGTCCATGTTTGCGTTTCCTCCAGAGTGGAACTGCTCGCCAAGATGCAGAGCCGCGGGTGGCAGACGATCCTATAAGGGCGAGAAGGTGGAGGCGGAGGCGGAGGAAGAGGAGGAGGAGGGCCCTCCTCCTCCTCCGCCACCACCTCCTCCTCTAGCTCCTCCTCAGGAGGAGCTGGCGGAACGAGCCAACGAACCCTATGGTGCGTGTCGGAGTTTGCCGTCTAGTAGCACACTGGGATCGGCAAGGAGCTAGAGAAGGACGAGGAAGAGGAGCTCAAAGGAGGAGGAGGAGGCGAATGTGGAGGAGGAGGAGGAGGAGGAGGAGGAGGAGGAGGAGGAGGAGGAGGAGGCGAATGTAGAGGAGGAGGAGGAGGAGGAGGAGGAGGAGGAATCGTTGATCGGCGAGGGAGGGCTCGAACTTCGCCCCCGAGTGGAGCCCCCCTCCCCCGCAGCTCCTGCCGCCTCCAGGACGAGGCGCTGGCGGCCTGCTCGAAGCGCGGCCCGGCGCTGAGGTAGCCGTCGCACAGCCTGCGGCGGCGGCCGTCGACGGTCGGCGGCCGCTCCGGGAGGATCACGACGGGCACCAAAACGCCCCAAAACTGAAGGGGCCCCAGGACACACAAATAAATACACACAAATAAACATGTTCCCCATATTTTCCCATATTTTCTGGGTGTTCGTCTTCCCCCCCACTTCCCATATTTTCCTATATTTTCTGGGGGATCGACGATTATTTGTGTCTGTGTGTTTTTTTCCCTCCTGAAAAACATCGGAACTCAAGTTCGAACTTCGACCCTCGAAGCCCGCTTCCCCAGGGCCCGCTTCCCCCGAAGGCCCGCTTCCCTCCAGGGCCCGCTTCCCCCCCTCAGCGCCCCTCTCACGGGGACTCCGCTGACGGGCACTCTGGCCACTGACCCGGCGAGCCCAACCCTCCCCGATGTGGGCAACACCGCAGTGCCAGAAAGGGGCCCTGGAGTGGCCACTTTCGGCAACTTTCCAGAGCACCGTCTGCGAACACACGTCACGGTGCCGCTGGCAGGCCTCCCGCGTTCCAAACAAGGCCCGCCTGCCCCCCGGCTCGCCGATCCCTGGGCGCTTGGGGGGGTCGACGCGTCCGCTCCCGGGCCTATCCTGAGGTCGGGCATGTCCTCCGACAGGCGGACTTTGGACGAAAAACGACAAGAAGTCAATCATATGCAAACATAGCCAACAATTGTGGAAACTCGTCCCCAGACTATCCTTTTTGATCATTTTCGAGGTCTCCTCCTGTAGAGGGACAGGCCCGACTCAAGCCTATCCTTGGGTCGGGCATATCCTCTTACAGGCGGATTGTGGACAAAAAGAGGAAACATCCAAACATAGTTCAAAAGAACAAAACAACACGAGCCTTCGTCACTTGACTATATTTTACTATGCTTGAAGACTCCTCCCGTAGAAGGGACATGCCCGACTTAAGCCCCCCTTCTGGTATTCCCCGCGACCTCTTCGACACCTGGTGGGCTTCGGGTCATAACTCGGGCCTCAGCGGGCCGTCCGGGACGATCCAGACACCCCCAGAAAGGCCTCGGCGAGGCGCAGCCGTTGAAGGCATCGCGACGCTGGACAGCCGCCGAGAAACGACGAAAACGCCCCGAAATCTCAAGCCGAAGTTTCGCCCCCCTCCCCCCCCGAGCAGAACGCTCCCTAAGGCTGCCCCTGATTCCCCCTCCTCGGGGCAACTCGGGATCGTCCAGGAGGGAGTTCGCAAAGCATGGCCCGAGGCATGTGCGCGGACCCGGGGGGGGGCAGGGAACCTATCGAATTAAGAAGGGGGGCGATGACATCTGGGGAAATACGTAGCACCCCGCAAGATGCGGATAAGAGTGAGAGGGCGGTGAGGACGTCGGCAGTCTGCGAGACTCTGGAAAACCCCACCGCAGGCGCAGATTTTTTCTTCAAACCAATGTGGATCGGTCGCGGGTGGGTCGCGGGTGGTCGCGGGGTGGGTCGCGGGTGGATCGCAAGTGAGTCGCGGGTGGGTCGCGGGTGGGTCAAAGATGAGTCGCGGGGTGGGTCGCGGGTGGGTCGCGGGGTGTGTCGCTGGTGGGTGGCGGGTGGGTCGCGGGTAGGTCGCGGGGTGGGTCGCGGGTGGGTCGCGGGTGGGTTGCGGGGTGGGTCGCGAATGGGTCGCGGGGTAGGTCGCGGAGTGGGTCGCGGGTGGGTCGCGGGGTGGGTCGCGGGGTGGGTCGCGGGTGGGTCGCGGGGGGGACGACGACAACAAACAACAACAACAACAACACCACCAACAACACCAGAAGCTACAACAACAACCACAACCACACCACCAGCACCAATAACAACAACACGATCAACAATGAAAACACAAACAATAACATCACTACCACCATCAATACCACAACAACAATAACAACATACACAACAACAACAACAACAACAACAACACCAACAACAACAACAACAACAACAACAACAACAACAACAACACCACCACCACCACCAACACCAACACCATCACCAACACCAACACCAACACCAACACCACCAACAACAACAACAACAACAACAACAGCGCAACAAGCATAATCCTCACCACGGATTCTCACTTCAGCCACGCACCCAGGCATAATGAAGGACCGTTCGGCCCCCTCACTCTGACCATGGCCCCAGCCATGACAACATATGCCCTTGGTCATCGCCTCCTCTTGGACGCCCCCGAACACCTCGTCCCTCCTCTTGGGCGTTGCTTAGATGGGAGGGCGATCCATGGCGGGGGGGAACGTGCACCCGTCGTGCCCCTTTTGGGCCCCAGGGGCCCCTACGGCCAGCCTTTCCTCCTCATCATCATTTTCGTTTTTCCCAACTATCCTGTGGTGTTGGGTCCTCGTTTTGAAGAGACGGTCCCCGCGTTCCTCCTCCTTCTCCTCCTCCTCCTCCTCCTACTCGCCCTCCTCCCTCCAGGGTTCGCATGCCTCCCCACCATCGATTTCGGCACACCCCTCACACGTTCCGTGGCCCCATAGGGAGCTCCACCGAAGGCCCCAGTGGCTGCGTTCGCATGCCTCCCACCACCCATTTCGGCACACCCCTCACACGTTTCGTGGCCCCATAGGGAGCTCCACCGAAGGCCCCAGTGGCTGCGTTCGCATGCCTCCCCACCACCCATTTCGGCACACCCCTCACACGTTTCGTGGCCCCATAGGGAGCTCCACCGAAGGCCCCAGTGGCAGGGTTCGCATGCCTCCCCACCACCCATTTCGGCACACCCCTCACACGTTTCGTGGCCCCATAGGGAGCTCCACCGAAGGCCCCAGTGGCTGCGTTCGCATGCCTCCCCACCACCCATTTCGGCACACCCCTCACACGTTTCGTGGCCCCATAGGGAGCTCCACCGAAGGCCCCAGTGGTGCGTTCGCATGCCCCCACCACCCATTTCGGCACACCCCTCACACGTTTCGTGGCCCCATAGGGAGCTCCACCGAAGGCCCCAGTGGCTGCGTCCGCATGCCTCCCCACCACCCATTTCGGCACACCCCTCACACGTTTCGTGGCCCCATAGGGAGCTCCACCGAAGGCCCCAGTGGCAGGGTTCGCATGCCTCCCCACCACCCATTTCGGCACACCCCTCACACGTTTCGTGGCCCCATAGGGAGCTCCACCGAAGGCCCCAGTGGCTGGTTCGCATGCCTCCCCACCACCCATTTCGGCACACCCCTCACACGTTTCGTGGCCCCATAGGGAGCTCCACCGAAGGCCCCAGTGGCAAGGTCCGCATGCCTCCCCACCACCCATTTCGGCACACCCCTCACACGTTTCGTGGCCCCATAGGGAGCTCCACCGAAGGCCCCAGTGGCTGCGTCCGCATGCCTCCCCACACCCATTTCGGCACACCCCTCACACGTTTCGTGGCCCCATAGGGAGCTCCACCGAAGGCCCCAGTGGCAGGGTTCGCATGCCTCCCCACCACCCATTTCGGCACACCCCTCACACGTTTCGTGGCCCCATAGGGAGCTCCACCGAAGGCCCCAGTGGCCTGGTTCGTATGCCTCCCCAACACCCATTTCGGCACATCCCTCACACGTTTCGTGGCCCCATGGGGATTTCCACTGAAGGCCCCAGTGACTGGGTTCGCATGCGCCCCCACACCCATTTCGGCACACCCCTCACACGTTTCGTGGCACCATAGGGAGCTCCACCGAAGGCCCCAGTGGCTGCGTTCGCATGCCGCCCCCACCACCAATTTCGGCACACCCCTCACACGTTTCGTGGCCCCATAGGGAGCTCCACCGAAGGCCCCAGTGGCAGGGTTCGCATGCCTCCCCACCACCCATTTCGGCACACCCTCACTCGTTTCGTGGCCCCATAGGGAGCTCCACCGAAGGCGTCACGCACCATAGGGCGCTCCACCGAAGGCCCCAGTGGCTGCGTTCGCATGCCGCGCCACACCAATTTCGGCACACCCCTTTCACGTTTCGTGGCCCCACAGGGAACTCCACCGAAGGCCCTTGTGGCTGCGTTCGCATGCCGCCCCCACACCAACTTCGGTGCACCCCTCACACGTTTCGTGGCCCCATAGGGAGCTCCACCGAAGGCCCCTGTGGCAACGTTCGCATGCCGCCCCCACACCAATTTCGGCACACCCCTCAAACGGTTCGTGGCCCCATAGGGAGATCCACCGAAGACGGTACTCACACCAGCATTACTCACAACTGCATATGGTTGGGTCCTTCGCCGGGCTAATTGTTTTTCTGTTGTTTC